CAGATTCTGAGGAACTACAGTGGAAAACATAAGGCATGGACAAAACCCAAATACTCCTTTCTAAGGTAAAGAGAAAGCAGCTATGAAGTAATAAGCATATCTTTGCAATTCATAGAGATGCAGTGAATGTAAAGGTATGATCTTACTCATTCAGTATCAAGATTTTTCAGGATAATGTAAAGGAAAACAGCCATGTAAACAAGAAAAGCTGACAAAAATGCCAGCAGCCAGCTTACACACCCAACTGCTCCAGCCAAAGCTGGGAGAAGCTACAGAGTAAGAGTGACACACTACTGAGTGACAGGAAAAGAGTCAAAAGCAGTGCATCAGAAATTCATACCCTCAACAAGAATGTCAGCTTCATGCAGCCTCTGCTAGACTTACCCCTCTCTCTTCCAAAAGCCTCAGTCTCGTCTCTACTTTTAGTCTGTTCTCAGCTCCCATTTCAGCACTGGTGTTCTCTCCAAGGGCATCATAACGAATAGTCAAGGCAGTCTTGGCTGCCAGCATTCGAGAAATCTGGAAAAGCCAGAAATAATATTAAGTGCTAAGACTTAGCATAAGGCAATGATTCACTCTGATCTGAAAACCATACCCACATACAAAAGAACAAAGTAACCATTTACTAGCAGTGTTTAATCCAAAAAATAATTAGTGCATCATTCTTTCACCACTGAAATACTGTTAATGTAACACCTTATTTCCTTGATAAATGGACGGAAACGTCTGAGACAGCAAGTTAGTTCCACATATCCTACTCTATCCCAACCTTTAGATCAGGTTAGTTTGAGGTGTAATTTCCAAATGGACAGCTTTCTCCACAATTCAAACACATATTCATCCACCCACATAATAAAAGCCTAAGCTCCTCAAGGTGAAGCAGAAAATTACTTGCTTCAGCACAAGAGACCCATTTTCAAGCAAGACTAAAGCCTATCAGTAGAAGAAAGTAGCAACATACCCCTTGAGAAAGCCAGTGTTACATCATAACTCAGCAGGAATGCATCTGTTATTGCTCAGATGTCTCAAATGGACAATCCCATTCAGTTTTTGAACAGGAATGAGTAACATTCAAAGATTTGTAGACAGTGGTATTTTACATGTTAACACAAAGCAATACAGTAAAACAAGCCACGGAAAGAGCCTCACTGTGAAGCTCAAGATACTCATGCTCTGGAAAAAGCTGAGCTGGTAAGCAATTCTGCAACTTACCTTGCCTTTATTTTTGGCATTGGTTTGTCCCACTAGGGAAGCATGATAGATAAGGCCAAATTTAGGTGTGTCCCTTTTAGTCTTCAGTGCTCTGAAGAGTGCCTTCTCAGCACCCAGTAACTGAACTGTTGAAGCCGGATGTTTCGCCAAATTCAAGAGGGAACCTAGGAGGAGGTGACACAGCAATAGTAATTTGTCAGAGGAGCAGCTAGGCTGGATTCCTGCTTTTGAACAGTGTAAGAAGCTCAGAGCCATCTATTTCCGAGACCTGCTTCACATTCGTTTCCTGAAGGACAGGTAAACCGCTTCAGCCTTTCATGCTTCAACTAACTCTCCTGGTTTGATTTCAGCATGAGGAAAGAAGACTGACTCAATAAAACATATTCCACTGGAATAATGCCTACTCCTGACAGTCTGGCAGCAAGAACATGTCATTACAGAACTGCAGCAGAGGTAACTGAAATAAGGCTGCTACCTTGAGCCAGTCTGACTACAGAAGTGTAATGTCGGTTTGTCAGCATTTTACCTCAGAAGTGACTAAACTATCAGCAGGAGGCTCAGTAAGTGTCTCAGAAGAGGTAGTGACTTAAGTTGCCCTCATATTCTGAAAAGAATTCAGGCCAACTGAGAACTTTGTCATCACAGACAACTACCAAGCTCATGCTGGTATTCTCAGATTGCTGAAGTGCTGCCTTTGCCCCCTTTACCATGAGATGTTCATCAGGGCCTTACATAATGCTTTTAGCTGACCAGCCCTGAGGAGAAAGCCTCTGATGAGGTCACCTAAGAGTTATTTACATTGATCACTGAACCCACCTGCATGAGCAATGAGCCTTGCTCCGACCAGTTCTCCCACCATGACAGTGAGATTAGGAGCAATGGCCATCATTCTGTTCTTCAGGTAGTCATACAGCTGTGTCCGATACTCAGAGATTTCAATCACCTGCCACAGACAGAGTGTGGTTACAGGAGTCAGTATCAGATGACCAAAAAATATCAAGAGATAAATATACTGAAATGAGGAAGTGCTGAGAATTCCAATGAAGGAGACTAACAAATTGCAAAATGCAAACAGCCAAGAGCCAGAGTTACAGGAAGCTTTATATAGGGCATATTCCCAGAGTAGAGCTCCATCCTCCAAATATATTGGATCTGTGTTGCTTATTCCCCTATGTGACTCACTTTCTCAGCAAAGCTCCCAATAAAAGAGCCGATAGCATGCCAAAGACAGCGAAGCAGAACAAAAATACTTAGTAAGGGCATTTTCTGTAGGACAAAACCCTGGAACATTCAGTTTTCACATAAATCTTTGCCACTATTCTCTTGAAATGGGATAAATGCTCTTTACTTGTTCCATACAAATACACACAATTAGAACGCACACAAAAAAGCAGCCTGGTCTAGACCAAGAACAGGAACTCCTAATCCTGCCACTCCCTGGCAAACTCACAAAGGGATCCAACTGGCACAACTAAAGTCACAGGGTGTTCACATACAATCCAGATGAGAGCAGAATAGGGCTCCTAATTCTTCTGGGGCCTCAGTGCTCCACTTTTAACCCATGGTTTATCACCTAGCTTCCAAAGTGACAGATTAGAAAGAGACTATACAATGCCATTATTTTAAAGACTCGAAAGCACAATGATAGCAAAATTCCTCCCTAAAGTAACACTGCCACTTTCAGAAGGCTTTGTGCAGTTATCAGCAGTTTGAGATGGCTCAGATGAGGTAGTGACTGTGCACCCTCACGTCTGAACATCGGGAAAGCAACAATATAGGAATCATCACTGCCATCCCAAGTGTGTCAGCACTGCCTTCGGAAAACCTCTCCTTGGTAGAAGAGGCTCTGCAATGGCTACAGTGGAGTTCCTACTGCTATCCATCTGTGTGTACATACCTGATCACAGAGATGGATTATGTTGTTTATGTCTTCTTCTGATACTTCTGTCCCCATGGAAATCTCAGCAGCAGCCTTCACATCCTCCTCAATCTCCTCTGGTAGGATGTCAGAAACATCAGAGGAAGCAAAATTGCTTCTGTCTCCTGTAGGGGACAGATGAAAGCTTGTTTGTGCTGGGGGCAAGGTGAACTAGTAAAAACAAAAAAGGCACAGAAACACATAAAAATAAAAGGCCAAAATAAAAACAGTGAGTCAAGTATGCCATCACTCTACTCCAAATTCCCAACATATTATGTCAGTGTTCTGACTTTACATTTATACTAGTTAGGAATGGTTGGAAATACTAAATTTCAAACTATTAAAAAAAAAAAAACAACGCCCATATTCTGTAACACTGCATACTTCACCTTTTCTATAGCTGGTTGCTGCAAAATTTTCAGTCACAGTATTAAAAACAAAGAATTCTAGGAAGCAAGCAGTCATTTACCAGTAACCACATCTACTTAATTCTTCCCACAACTGGGAAAAAAAGCTCCCTTCAAACTACAAGTCTCCCTCTGGACTGCAAACTTCATTATTAAAAAAAAAAATAAAAAAAAAAATAAATAACCCCCCCAAAACAACAAACCAACACCACAAAAAAAAACCAAACACCACAAGAAAGACAACAAAAAAAAAAATCATGAATACAAAGCTTCATCCAAGAGGTGAGGCAAGTGTCCAAAATATTATAGCAGTCATTCTTTTTGCTCTTGTGAATAAAAAAATCCAGCAGTTGCTGTCTCCAAGAACATCCAGAAACAGGTGACATTTCTCTTTACATCAGTTCTTTTGGTAGCTAATTTCCAAACTCGTCTGCTGAATAACTGGGATTTTAAGAAGACATGCAGGTGGCCCCTGAAGGACTGACTGGTGATGTGGTATTAACTTTCTCTTAAACTTCCAAAGCTTGCAGCAACACACAGATGCAAACACACACTGCTTTTCTACTGGCCCTGTTTACACTGCTGCTGAAGGCAGGACTGCACAGTGTCATGACTAACTGGATGAGAGAGTGAGTTGGTCTGCAAGTCAGTGCCACTGGTGCACTGCATACTGCCATGCAACAAACTCCAGGCTCACGATTCCTTACTACTCACCAACTTTCCGCACACATTTACAATAGGTTAGGTTATCTGTGATGATTTTGCCCAGTTCAGGGAAGTGCCAACCATACCATTCCCTACAGCGCATGATGTAGTTATTCAGTTCCTTGTCCAAGTCATCAAGAAGTGCTAAGAGAAAGAAGAATGGACTACTTTTATCTAAAAAGGTAATCTAAAAATGGAAAACTCTCAAATCAACAAATTTAAATAGTGTAAAGGGAGATTAACTGAGGTATTTTATCCTATAAAGACTAGAATAAAACTGCAGTACACTAGAAGTCTTCACTTTTCAGAGAAATGCATAATCCCAGGCACAATATTATAGAACTGTCAGCATTCCCACAAGTGTGGCCTGAAAATTTCATCATTGGAATTGTCTTGGACGGATTCCTTTAACAGCTGCAAAGAACATTCTCCTGGAAGGGGAACAGCAACCAACTCTTCCCCCCAGTCACCCAACATGCTACACACAAGGTTGATGTAAAATGTAGCCATCCGATTAACTTTAAGGAAAAAATGTTTTAATGGTTACAAACTGATTTTTTTATTCAATTACTTGATTTAAAAGATTGTATTAAGCCCTTTAGTTTTCTTTAATATACTCAATACAAAACCAACAGGCTCACCATTTACCAGATATGACTAAAAATCAGATTTAGAATTTAAGAGCGTAGCATGCACAGTATATATTGCTAGAGAGCCCTGGGGCTAAAATATTTCCTGCTAATGCAATACCAACATTCCCATCTGTTGTCTCAGTGGTAGTGACGAAGGAACTGAATCAAATCATTAATTTCAGTTTAACTATATGTTTCATCATTGACAACAGTCTGGGAATAATATTCCAAACAGGATTCCTCACCACTGCTTCACAGCAAGCGTGCCAATTATGATGTGGATGTCTTCAAGGAAAAACGAGGAATGGGCTTTCCTAGCTGTGTTAACAATTTCAGTCTGTGAAATGCAGCATTACACACTGCAGCATGTTTTACATGCCTAACACAAGAGTCTACTTCTACAATACCCTCTACGCAAGGTACCACCAAAATAACGGGTCACAAAATGCCTTCCCGTGGGGCCCATTCTCCCAGCACCACTCAGAAGGGAAGCATGTTGGGAAGGGAAGCCCTTAGAGGACTGTCTGTATTTCAGCTGATTTCTATGCTAAGAGAAAGTGGCAGTTTACTGTATCATCCTGCAAATGTTCCTGCTTGTGGAAAACCCTATTAAGAAAACACACCTTATGCCTTGCTGAACGTCAGTGCCCAATTTACCAAGACAAACTCAGAGGAAATGGACAGCAATACTTTTCTGTAACCAATGTAAAGAAGTCAGCTATCCTAAGCCAAATCCATTAATAATTTAAGCTCTAAATATACTTACAAATTGCCTGGATAATCATGGTATCTACTTTGTCTGGGCTGAATTTCAACTTGTATCGGGAAAGGCTGAGGAGACAGAAATACAGTTTCATCAGCATCCTGAGCTCCTGCAGAGTATGCCCCACCTGGTCCTATTTTACATGAATACATTCATTCAACACAGTTCAGTTTTATGCCACTGACTGCTCTCGGCTGTGGCCAGAAGCCACACTGACACAAGTTTCACAACAGCTCTGACATGTGTACACACACATACCCTGCGACCAGGGTGAAAGGGAAAGTTAAGGCTATTTGTACCACATGCAGCAGACTGAACATGAGTGCTGTGGCAGGAAATTGGCTGCTGGTTTCTTTCTGCGTGGTTCCCCACAAAAAGTATTTGTCAACAGCACTTCGAGTTCTGCAGCAGCTGAAGGCAATCCACAAAACTGCACCTACCCAGCAGCCAATATCAGCAATGCTAATGTGAAGCAACAAGACACTTCCTAGAACAGATTCTCACTGTCTGACAAAGCCCATTACCATCTGGCTTTAATGTATGTTTACAAAGACACTTGATATCAATGAAGATTTGCATCTCTGAAGTCCTCCTTCAATATTAATGCCCATTTTCTAAACAAACACACATCTATTTTCAAGAAATTAGCTACAGCAAAGCATTTCTCTAACTTGGCAATGGCTCATACAGGACAAACTCATATCAGAACATGAATTAAAAAGTTACTCACGAATGGATGTTTGATCTCATGTTGATCCTTAACTACTACTCCACTAAACCTAAAAGGCAGTGATAGCAAGGTGGAAAGACAACTCTGCCTTTAACATTTTTACATAATTATCTATTATATGGGTATTTATTCTGGCATAAATCAGCAAATCATGATCTTCACCTTGTCTCCTAGTGGCAATGGAGTTTTAAATTACCCACTTCACTCCTACAGAGACATTCCAAACGAAATCCTGAAGTACATTAAATGCAAAGGAAAGCTTTCAACTTCAGGTGCAGATGAAGCCTTTCCCTAAAGGGTGGGTGCAAACTGGAAAGCCCTTCCTTTATAAAACAAGATTTCCGATACGAATGTGCCTTGATGAGACCATGCCACGTACTCAGAGACACTTCAAGCAGCACAGCATAGCCAAGGACACAGGAGTGGGGCAGACATGGGATGATACAGAGCTGTTCTAGGAACTCACCTGTGTGCCAGACCCAGACACATGGCTGCCATCTCTCGAGAAGGGAGGCCTGTTATAAGCCCTTCAATCTGGGAGCGAATTCCTCTCATCAACTCTGTAACCATTGGGCTGTGTATACAACTCAAATTCAGCTTGTCCTGCAGGTTGGAAAGCAATGACCCAAAGTCAGGCAACACATGACATTCCTCTAAAGCCCTTCTTCCAGCAGCCTTATATCATTTATGACTGGTTTTCCCACTGCCATCCCATGATCACACAACAGTTTCATTGCCTTTGACGCTAAACGTAGTGACACCACCAGTTCCACACATTGAAACAATTCCATTATGAAGAGATTTATAACATGTATCTGCTATGTAGAAGATTCAACTTAAGAGTCAAGATTTTGCAGTTTACTAGAAACAGTTCAGCCACAGACAGAAAATTCAGAGGTAGAGGGTTGGGGGCTTTGGGTAATTTTCAGAGAACAAAACTAAATAATTAGTTCAAAGTCCTTGGTATTATTCACTTTACCACTTAAACCCTGTGTACTCAAGACAACACTTCCCTGTATGCATGCAGTATAAACATTAGGATTAGATATTGTCCATGCTGCAAGCAAAGCACTGGCAGCACAATCCATTACTAGGAACTGCAAAATCTCTGGAATCTGACAATAATATTTCAGCAGCACGAGGCAAAAGGAAGAACAGCAAAATCAGCTATCACCTTTATGACACCTCCAAGTTTGGCATCTGCTACGGCCAACTGCTCATGGGCATCTTTTGCCACAATCTTCTTGAGAATTTTCTTCAAGTTCTTGCTGAGTTTGCCTTCTACAAGAGCTGTGGATGCTGTATAAAACAAAAAGACCAAAGATACAGTTTCTTTCCCCTCCTAAAACCTGTCAAAATAGTACTCCTAGCTTTGTACATTTATTTTAACTGCCCACAGTAGCTCTAGTCTGAGCTGCAATGCTACTTTGCCATGCAATAGCTAAAATCAAAATAGAAGAAAATTATATACTTGTTCCTTTGGAGGCCTAAATCAAAAACTTTTCTCTCAGTTGCCTCTCTCCATATGGTTTCAGTTCTATTTTTGCCAATTTTTTTTTAAAGATCTCTACAAACAGTATGCCATATGCTTTAGATGCATGTTTAACATTTCCAAAGGCAGGGTTATATGGGAACATTTTGTGTATCATTTAATTAACCAACCATTTTCCAGGTCCCTTAGGCAGCAACCATGATATCCTAAATTGATAATGGCTTATTTGCATCCTCTGGTGATGATAATGTAATATCTAAAGCCCAAGAAGGAATGATGCCAAACACACTGACTGGGCAGTCAGGCACAGACCCTTTTAATATAGCATGCAGACAGAAGAATTTCAAAAGGACATTCTTCATTCTCAAATATGAATAGATTTGTAAAAGCTTTACAATCCCACACAATATATTTTAAGCAGGCACTTATACAATCTGTCTGACGGTCAGCTCTGTGCTCCACTGAACTTCTGTGACTGATGCAACATCTTCATCACACTAAATAGAGCAGAGGCCAATGATTTTTGGTTTCCAGAACCTTAATGACATGTAAGAGTAAAATCTAACTGCTTTGCTGAGTTTCCTCTCAACCTTTCTAAAATGGAGATAATTTTCCACCTTTTCTTTTGCTTTTTTAAAATCAGCCTAACTATTCATGATCTGAATCCAAACCTATGCAAAAGCAACATAATCCAAAAAATATGCCATGGAGAGGAGCTTTAATTTCAGTTTTTTTACTTGCACCTCATGTACAATGGCAGCATCTCAGTTTTTGTTTCCTTAGCTTCCTTTATAGGTTAGCCCTACCATATCAGAATATAAAGAACCATTCTTTAGTTGTAAATGCAACCTGGAACATCCATCTATTGCTGTCATACAGCATATTCAGCAGTAATTGTCACACTATGTCTGAATTATTACCCAGAACTTCTATCACTTTTGTTCAAACTAGTCCACAGCATCAAGTCTTTAAGTGTAAAATCTGTAAAAATTACTGAACGTAAGGCTTTCCATTTTGTTTAAACTCCTGAACTCAGGTACAAGACAGGCTTTTTTTAGGCTGAAAAACACAGGTATCATAATATGTGTGCACAAAACATGGGTGACTGCACTAATGAACGTTCTCCGATACCCATCTGTTGTCTCAGTGGTAGTGACGAAATGTTGACTCAAATCAGTTGTACTCAGCTTCAACAAGAATCCATCATTGACAACAGGCTACAGGTATCAGGCAAAACTTACATGATGCCCACTTATGAGCTGCTTGGGAAATACACACAGTAGGAAAAATCTAGACTTTATTACATCTCAACTGCACTAGAGACCAAAGGGGTGATCTCATAAGCCATCAAAAACAGTTTACTTTGAAAAACCTGTAATTTAAAAACTAAGCAAAGAAACACAGCAGGAACAGAGGTAAGTAATGAGTGAACTAATGCATGACAGGGATTTGGGTTTTTTGTAAGAATGGGGTTAACTCACTTACCAGCAAGTGCTTCTGTGGTGTCCTGAAATTTTTCAAAGTGCTTCAGCTTTACTCTACAGAAGAAAAATAAAAGTGTGTAAACAAATGTACATAAAAGAGATGCTAGAACAATTTTACCTTTTTTTCCGCCTTCACTCTTCTAGTTCCCCTCTTTTCCCTAAGGCTGCAAGAGAGCAGAGATTGATACCCAGATCATCAAAAAGTGAGAGCACTAAACCTCCCAATTAAGTTTGGGTTTGGTGTGACTTTTCAGCTGGGTCCCACAATACTTACATAAAGAAAAAAGGAACTTTGGTATTTCTTGGACCAACATCACCAGAAAACCTAAGCCCCTTTTTTGTTTGTAGTTCATATTTAAAGACAGACATCATCCATTTAAATTTCAACACTGCACCCTGATTGACTGATGATAGCATCTTCCCACTCATGTTCAAAAGGAAACCTTCTGCCTCTGTGGAATGCAGAGCCTGCACAGCTCAGATTTAACACGCTTTCCAACCAAATGCATCTTCAAAGATCAAAGATTTTAAACTGAACTGATTCATCACCCATGAATCCTCAAGTCCTCCCTTGTAATTAGATGTTAGAATACAAGTTCTGAGCTGAGCTTAAAACAAACAACAAAAAATTCTTTCATGCTCTAACTGCTGACCAGAGCCAAAACCCATATGGACAGTGTTTAACCACACTGTGTCAGATCCTCAGGCGCAGCTTCCCTCTGCCCTTCACAGAATCTGTGGTGTTGA